TTTTATTAAATCAGACCATTGAATTAAATCTCGACATAAATAAACATATTGTCCTTTGAATAAATAAAATTATAAAATTATAAAAAAAAAAACTAAAAAAAACCTTCATCAGCAAAACATCTAAGAGGATCATCATTCATAACCCAACCATTATGAGCCATAACATATAATTGATAATTAATATCATGTTCAATTAAATTATTAATATCATCTGGATGTTTAAATTCTCCATTTGGATAATAAAAATAATTTCCAACAAATGGTGTTGATGGTAAACATAATTTATTATAATTTGGTCCATCCAATGAAAAAAAATGATAACGACATGAAGCAATAGAATTATCAATAGCTCGATTTAAATATCCATTTAATTTTTCTCGAATTAAATTATTTAAAAAATCAATACGAGAACGTAATGCATCACATGCTGCATTTATCCATTGTTCATTTGTTGATAAATATTCTCTTTTAAAAAAATATATTTTTTCAGCTAAATCAAGATCAACAAAACTTTTCATTCTTAAATATTTTCCATGATTTATTTCAATTAAATTTTCATTATAATATAAAGGTTTATCAGGACAATTATTTAATAAAGATAATTTTTTATAAAATAATTCAACTAATTTATTTGTATCACATATATAATATTCCCATAAACAATATTGAGGAAATATTTCATTAAGTAAATAATGTCGAATTAATGGTAAATGATGTTCTTTTATTTCATCTTTAATACCTTTTGATAAAAGTTTTCCTTTACTTGCATCACAAGTAAATTGCATTAATATTGAATCAATAAGTACAGCTGGTTTTAAATGTGGAGAATTAATTAAATTATAAGCAGCTTCAGGATGATTTCGAAGTAAATCACAATCATCAGCAACATGATTATAAACAAGATCAGTTATTGATAATATTCTCCATTGTTTAGCTATTTTATCAATTAAAATTTTCATTTGTTGATATGTTCCTTCAAATTTTGAATTTAATTTATGATGATCATTTATTGAATATGATGAATTTGATATATTATTAAGTGATTGAATTGGTGTAAAATGTATCATATTATAACCTGAATGATATGTTACTTCAATACGTGATAACCATTCTGATAAAGGACCCAATGATTTTGATAATACTGATTGACATGTTATACATTCTTGTTCTAATACTTCACCACTTTCATCTGGAAAAATTAAATGGGATTCAACTTGAAAATAACCTTGACCATTTTGATTTTCTTTAATTCTATTTAAGAAATTATTATTTTTCTCTTTGATAAAAAGAAAAAAAGTCAACTTACGTTGTTCCATCAATAGTAAAATAATAATGAAATGAACCAGATTTACAACATAAAATCGATACATAACGATCTGAATCATCATATTTTCCACTTGATGGATAAATCCATTTTAATTCTTGATAATTATTTCTTTGAAATAAATCTTTTTCATAAAGACAAGCATTTGTAAATATTCGAACTTCTCTCCACGATAAATGAGATGATAAAGCTATTTGAAGAGTCCATCCTTTAATTAACATATTTTATTTTATTTTATTTTATTTTATTTCATTTATTTATTATTCAAACCTTTTTTTAATCGAAATAATTCTTCACTTTTATCTTCACCTTCATTTAAAATAAGTACACGAATTTGTTCATCATGACCAAAACTCATTTTATTATATTTCGAATAAAAACAAAAGAAAACTACTAGTATTCGTTTGTTCTCTCTTTAAATAAATATAAACTGATAAAATATTATTATTCTATCGAATATGATCATATCAATTTATAGTCAGTGGACAAATCAGGATGAGTCATCGAATCAATAACAAATTTTGAACACACTAATGCACTTAGTAGTGCACCATTTGTGCCAATTTTTAGAAGGTTTTTCTTGATATCATTTTGTTCCTAAACATGGACTAGATCTTTTAGTGTAATCAGATTTTTCGGCCTAAGAGCCATTTCCGAGAAAATCGAGTTTTTTGTAGACCAATCGTGAGCTTGAGACACTCAGCCAATGAGAAATGTGATAAAGGCACCATTATTTTATGCCGTCTGTAACCATCCATTATTCAAGCGCGAACAAAGACACTGATGCCATCACCGGTGATACATTGTGTATTATGTGATCGACGGGAAAGAATAGCCCGTTCAAAATTGACTATCATTACCACTGTTGAACGAGAACAAAAAGTTTATGAAGGATATCAAAAACGTTTTGGTCAACCATTGAATTATTCATTACTTAATAAAACTGTTCATACATCATGTTACAAAAGAATTACAGTACGTTTAAAACCATTATCTAATAGAAGTATAACTAGTCCACATAAATGTATTCCATATGATAACTGCTGCATATCGATGTTAACAAATGAATCGTCACATGAATGTTCATCTATCGCTATTGAACGAAATTCTTTTGATTTACATGAACCAGTTGGTGTTAATGAAAATTTAAAGATTGACTTGCCAATGGTTGATAATAGTTGTGTTCTCTCGTCGAATGGCGAGGTAAGATGCATTATAATCTTTTCTTCATCAATACATATGCATGATATACTTGATTTGTAGAACGATGATTTGATTTCATCAAATCAGTATACACACTCTTTTGATACTTCCAATCAATTACATAATCGACAACCGTTTATTGATCGAACAAACGAAGATGTATCTTTATCACCTCCAGATATTAACTACTGCTCAACAATAGCGATTGGTTTTACGTCTTCACAATTAAATGATGAGAGTGTGGTTCAAAACGGAACAATTAATGGAAACAAAAACACATTTAACATGGATTTGCCAACGAATACATCGGTAATTTAAGTAATACAAACTTTCACATATTGTTGTTATTTTTCTAGAGCGAACAGTCGAAATATTTTACTGATCATAGTAATTCAAATAATAACGATGTGCATATATGTCCAGTAATCGTTATGACACCAGAGAGAAGTGAACCAATGGATTCTACTCATTATTATGAAAGCAACAACTTCCAACAAAATTGTATACATGTTTGTTCACTATATCTTATTATGATTCAAATGATTTGATTAAAAATTTTTTTTAAGCTTGATACTTCAACAATTAATTATACAAGTGAAAGATGTATCACATCTACTGCTTCATGTCAACCATGTCAACATGGCCGTTTTAAAAGGAAGCTAAAAAAAAAAGTAGTAAAACAAGTAAGTTGAAAAAAATTGTTGGTCGAAAATGTTGATGAAGTATTTTGTGTTAGATACAACGTGAACAAAATTATAACGTCTCAAGTTCCCGTCGATCATTTCGAATCAAATCAACATTTAAAGTAGCTACACCGAATCCACAAACTAGTGATATATCTCGCCTTTTTTCAACTTCTTTCGATGAATTATGCAGTTGGCTAATAGAAATTCTCAATACTGGTGTTATTATGTCGATTGTTGATGTTAGTTGTGAATATAAAACTATTTGCCAACGGCGTAAAGAAACACTAAAACCAAACATGCTTCGCACATCATCAATTCAAAGTCGTCTCATTCATAGATATGGTGACATGCTGCACTTTGAGAAGCGCAGCAATAATGAAGTAAGTAGATTATATATTCATTTTTTTGAAAATATTTCTGAAAAAAATATTTGGATAATTTTCTTTTACATATTTTAGGGTATTTTCGTTGGATTATCTGATCCCTCTGTTTATATACGATGTGCTTTGTCAAAGCCTAGTATCTGGCAACGAGCAGATACTACTGATCCTCAAAGACAAGAACAATTATGTGAAAGATTTATAGATCTTATCGAACAATTTCGAAGCTCACTTAAAAATAATCTTCATATTATTAAATCCATAAAGTATGATGAATCTTCATTAGCTAACTTTGATTCTGATTTATACTGGGCATGTATACCTCTTTTATTAAAAAATTTTATTGGTATGTTGACATTGAACGATGATAAATTCTCCAAAATGAAAAACGAATATGAATTCTATGATATTCAAACAAAGGATCTTTTTAATAACTCTGCCAAATGGTTGAAGATAGCCTCAATTTGTTATGATTTAATATATACAAGTAGTAGTCATAATATTACTCCTAAACATTGTAAGTATCAGTTAAAGGTTGTTTATAAGTAATATTTGACTTTTAATATATTTAGATTTACTTGGTAATGAACTTTATCGACATGGAAGATCGGAGCAATTATTGAATATCACAAATAGACTTGGTTATACTTCAAGTTACAAGTCGATCGTTCGATTACATACTGAAGCTGCAGAAAGATCACGAAAAGTATCGAGACCGTTTTTCTGCACTGGTCAATATTCTAGTTCATTCGATCACAATTTTGTTGTCAAGGTAGCCGATAACTTCGACCTTAATCCTGATAGGTTACATGGAAATAATAGTATACACATTCTCAATCAAATAATTATATCAACACCAGAAAATAATGAACTTCCAATAGTAATCGCTGAATGTCTCGATGATATAGTCCATAGAATAGTTAGTTCCAATATTTCTAGTACGGTTCGTATTCTTTTCTTTTCACTGTATTATCGATTCTGTAACACAATTTTTTTTCTAGATTGCTTTAGTATCTATTATTGATGCTACTCCAATTACAACTTGCCCTTCTTTCTCCGACAAAATGTTCATTAATCAAGCACTTGATTTACCTATGTTAGCGTATTGTTTGATTAAATTCGCGAATGATACCACACGTGTCTCATTCAATTATCTATCTCCATTGATACCTCGTTTAGTTCCAATTTTGTCAGGATTTTTTGCCACTTACTTAAATTTTGAAACGAGACCTCTACATCTCGTTTCATTTATGACACCAATCACCGATGATCCTAGTTCAGAATCAGCAGCAAAAAAATGTCTTGAAGAAACGAAACAATTATTTATAGATTCCATGTATCAAAAAGAAGGTGTGCTCGTCGTTGACGAAAAAATTTATCGCAGCTGTATGAAGGTAACCATAAATTTAAATGCATTTCTTTTTTTCTGTTCTTTTTTTTTATAAACTGGTAAAATATCGTCAACCCGATGTCCTTAAAAATATTTTTATTTATCCTGGAGATTTCCATCTCATGAAAAATATGATGGTTGTTTTATGGAATTTACTTAAAGGATCAGGCATAGAAGATGTATTCGAAAATATTTACAAGGATGCAACTTTGTCGTCAGTTTTTGAGTAAGTTCACTTTCATGATTAATGATTATGAAGAATCAATAATAATTGTCTTTTATCGATTTAGAGTACGTCATTTCAATAGAAGTTTACGATGCTGTAAACTTTTATATACAGCATTGCACGTGCTATGTATTGAAGCCTTTTTCGATCAAACATCAATATCATTATCAACTTCTGATTGTATGAAAAATTTAAAGTCAGTGATGTTACAGATACCATCAGAATATGCATCGGATGATATTTCTCAAAAATGGTTTGCGCAACTACTTCAAAAGATTGAACAAAGTGATTTTTCAACTTATTTTGATGCTTGGGCTTTTAATTCTAGTAAAGCTAACTCCACTTTTCGTTTATGGTACTTTATACTTCATCGAATTCTTAAACCTATTCTTCAATTATACATGTCAATACGTACATGTAATTTCGAAGCAAGAAATGCTGCATTATATCAGTTCGCCCCCATATTCTTCACAACAAGTCATCGTAATTATAGTCGGCTCGTGGCACAACACTTGTACGATTTACAATCAGCATCACCATATTTACTTTCACGCATGGCACGATCTTTTGCAGTAACTCGTTCACAACGAAAGTTCTCTAGTAAGTTGAATTTGAATTTTTTTTTGAATGCAAATATGATAGTAATACAGGCATTGCTCTCGACCAAACTATCGAGTGCACTATTAATAAATATGGAAAGGGTTCGGGAGGTATCAATGGTCGACAAGATGAACAATCCATCAGTAATTGGACACACTCATTCGCATTTCGATCACTTTTGTCTTCTACTCTTCACGAAATATGTGGTATTGAAACACATCGTAATTCCATTGATTCACACATAGAGTGTTCACCAAATAGGAAAGCTGTTGATGACCAAGATTTATCTATCATTGTGAAATTACTCCGTAATGAAAATATATTCACAAGTACAAACAAAAAATGTCACAAGATTTTATCAGGACTTATCATACATGATGATATTATTGAAAACATCACGTCATCATATGAACGAGGTGAACAATATTTATCAATCTATATTAATGAGCGGCTCGTACACAAAAAGGTTCCTATCGACGCGCCACTTAGAACTATACCGTCGCTCAGTAACTTTCTATGACAATAAAGAGATGGAAAGGACAACTAAAATATTTTTTGTTTTTCTAGAACTGAAAGATGCTAATACTTATGTACCTAACATCGATGGTCAATTGAATAATAAACGTGGGGTACTTGCAAACATCAAAGATTACAATCATTTGGCGAAAATTGCAGACCATGAAATTCGTCGTATAGTTCTCATAGCACAACAAAGAAACCTAAAACCATTATCTCAATTTTTTTCTTTTGAATTTTCTCCTGTTCCTCTATCTCTTTGTGATAGTCAAAATATAGATTTACTTAATCAGCAGACAAAAGCAACGGTTATTGACATTTTAAATAACCATTTTTCATCATCTTTTTCGTCCTCATGCTCAATCTCGACTGGTCAAAGTGCTATCGTAATTGATGGTCGTATTTTATTTGAAACAAAACCAAACCCTGAAGTAAAAACAATAAGAGATTATGCAATTCAATTGTTGGAAAATGATATACGAGATTTATTTTATATACATGTAAATTTATTTTTTTTACTTTCTATACTGGTTTTGGTTTTTCTAGGATCGAATTGACGTGATATTCGACTCAATGAAAGAGAAGAATCTGCAACAATTTAGTAAGATACAAGACCATCGTTGCGAGAAAAATATTTATCAGCTAAGAGGTGATGACAAAATTGAAACATCATTCAAGAAATTTGTTCAATCTAACCCAGTCACTCTTGCACGATGTATATGTACTTGTTGGATGGAATCTGAATTGATTCAACGTTTACCACCAGGACGTCTACTTGTAGTAGGTAGACCTGATTTAACAGCTGTAAAGTTGAAAAAAGGAGATGCTCCTGAACCAGATTATCTTCTAGAAACAAATCAAGATCAATCTCGTACGAGAATCTTATTACATACAAACTCAATTAGTTTAGATCAATACCAAAAGAAAGTCTTTATCAACACAACAGAGTAAGCTACTCAATTGATTTTGTTAAAAAATGAAGGATAATATAAACTGAAATTTCATTTACTATTTAGTACTGATATTGTTTTACTTGCGATTGCATTTGGCTCCAGTATCATTCTTCAGCATCTTGTTATTAAATTAATGAATATTCGAACACAGAAAATTACTTACATTGATGCTAAATCTATTGTATCTAACCTTCGCCAATCAGCTATCGATCCAATATGTTTTATTGTTCTTCATGCACTTTCTGGATGTTCTGCCACGTCATTCATTAGGAATATCACAAAAGAAAAGGTTTTCAGTTGTTTCTTCAATAATCCACAGCGATATGCTTCTATTAATAAATTAAATTGTATTCCACCACCTGATGAATCTATTGCTGCTTGTGAACGGTTAATTATTAATTGCTATTCTTTTGGTAAAGCTGTAAGATCACTTGATGAACTTCGTGCAGTTAGTAAGTTCAAGAATTATTTGTTTGTGGATATTAACTTTAACATAGCGTATATTTATTGTGTTTTTTTATTTAGTGGCTGATATTCGTATAAAAAATCGAGCTCGTACTAACATTGCTTCATCTTTACCACCATCAACAGCAGCATTTAAACAACATTGCCTAAGAGCTGCAAGGCAAGTAAAAATATGGATTGATTGTTTTGATTCTTACCCGATAGCACCACCAATGCTTAATTCTGGATATGAAAATACTGATAGTGATAGTAATTTTAAAATTAAATGGACTGATCTTCCTGAAAAACCTTATGATCCTCGACTTGATTCATGTGGTGAATGCAAATCGAATTGTAATCGTTGTAAGTGTCGGAAGAACAACATCCCTTGTACGTTTTATTGTAAATGTGATGTTAGTTCTTGCACCAATCAGCCAAGTGCTCAAGTGAGTTTAAACATCGATTAGTTTTATTGTATTTTGTATTCTTTTTTATGAAGACCATGTCATTAACTCAAAATGATTCAATTTCTTATAATAATGCTGACCATGAACATTCAGCTGATGAATCTCAACAAAGCGATGATTATTACAGTGATACATCGTTTATATCACAAACAAATTCAATTGATTATCAGGTAAATTCTTCATAATATTCACATGAGTTTTTATTTACATTTTCCTCTTTTAGACTGATGATTCAGAAGTTGATACTGATAATGAAAACGGAAATTATAATAAATTTAACTTCAATAAATCGATCATTAATACATCAGTAGTTGCTTCGGAAAATGATCCTAATTTTTCAATACTTCATGATCATAATTACTCATTTGGTGTTGTTCAAATATGTCATCTACTATATCAACTATTGTATGTAGTTAAAGAAATCAAAATTGAAGTTATTTGGAACGTACAAATATTTTATGAAACCGATTTAAATGATTTTGTTAGTATATCATTAATCCGTGGGCATACTTATTGTACATTATTATTACAGACTTTCATAACGACAGCATACTTAATGTTTGCAGTACACCAAAACGACAACGAACATCATCAACAAATTCGGTATCAAGTAGTAACATGTTTTAAAAAAGTCACTTTCTTCTTTTTCAGAGCATCGCTAATAATTCAACCCCATATTCATCTCTGTTTCTCCACTCGACACCTAAGACACAAATTAAAACAAACGTTTTCTCAACACTACTTGTAAGATTAGTTTTTAGATTGTATATTTTTGTTTCTTCTACACTTCTCATTTAGAAAACGCCGTTACCACCAATTAAATCAAGAGCTCGACCATCAATTGGCTTCAGAAAGAACTATGGAATGAAACTAAAATACAATTCAGACAAGACATGATTTTTTTCATTTTTTTTGTAATTTTGTGTTATTACTTTATATATTTATTTACTGTAGTATTTTTGGTGATTAGAAAAAAATATTTTAAAAATAAATTTCAAGGATGACGAGGATCATCGTAACTAAAAAATAATTTTAATTCATGTGAAAATGGAGTTACAAAAGGATTATTGATCAATGACTATATTGTATAGAATGGATTATATTCTATTACGAATTGCTGCTCTATTGAATTAGCCAATCAGAATGCTAGTGGCCCGATTGGTCACAGTTTTTTGGTTGTTTCGGGGTGTGTGCCATTTTATTTTGGAAAAATAAAATCATGGTTCGATTTAGCATAATTTTCTCTACCGATCAGGATATTTTAAAAGTTCGGCCCATTCCGTCTATTTTAGAGGGCGCCATAAGTAGTGCATTTGATATTGATTTGTTTAAAATGTGCTCTTTTTCTGCTCTGTCCGTTGACTATTAAAGTATCTTTTTTTTTTCTTTCTCGTATTCCATCAATCATTCATTTTCCATTTAGATTTAGATTTTTTTGTTTTTCTAGATGTCGCTCGAACACAATATATTCTTATACAAACAAATATGATTTTCTTCTATTTTTGACAACTAGCAAAATCAATTAAACATAGTTTACATTCAAAACAAAACAAATCTCATTAGATAAACAAATAAACACTTTGATAGGTGGCGAAACATTTTAAATCTAGAGTAGACTCAACATTTTTTATAAGATCCTTACCAACAAATTAGAAAAAAAAAGAGACTTCTTTTTTAATGTCAATTGCATAAAAAATATAGAAAATACACTTTAAAACGCGTTCCTACTATCTGAAAACGTGTTACTCTGTTTTTTCTTTCAAAGAAATGTATTTCTGAGTGTTTTTGTTCGAATAAAACGCATTTCGCATGTTTAGGTTTCAGAATTAATGCAAAGCGTGTTTCTCAAAGAAAATGCTCAGTAAGATTGTTCGCTGCGTTCTTGTTCGAATGAAATGAGTTTTACAGTTTTAAGTTTCGAAAACGATGAAAAATGCGTTTATTTTAGGAAGGCTTTTCATTGTGTCTCTGATAGGAAATCATTGATAAGGTATTCCAATGTGATATTGTTCAAATAGAACGCGTTTTACGGATTTAGTTTTTCGGAAGTGATGCATAACGCATTTTTTTTGGACGAGTTTAACGTAAACCATCACTTGGTCGTTTTTATTTTAATTTTAATGACAACATTTTAACAACATAGTTGTTTTCCACAGGCTACAAATATCTATACGAGTTATCTAAAATATTCAATTTTCGATATTTTCGTTGTTTCCTTCCGTTGATGAAAACCTTTTTATGGAAGTGGAAGCTAGAAAGCAATTCAAACGGGTTGAATAAATCGTTCATGAATCCGAAATGAAAGGATTAGTGGAGGTGGTTTTAATATTGTGATTGCTTATTTTTCGTTTTTGATTCCTGACGATTTCTCAATAGACACAAACAACAAATCAAATATAATGACAAACAGACAACTCATTTTATTTACTTAATACTATTTGTCGTACTTTATATTTGTGTGTTGTAAGACTTTGTTATAATCTTCGAAGTTTTTTCTCAACAGTGAACTTTCGAGTACACGTGAGTTTCTTCTAATTCATAAAAGCAGTCTGACGAATGAAACAGGAAAATAGAAAAAAAAGACTTCTATTTCAATACAATATAACTGTTGTATTATGTAAGATTAAATACATTTGCAAACTGAAAATTCGGTGATTTTGCCCACTAAGTTCGTAATATTTTCTCACTTATAGTTTGAACTAAACATGACTACTAATAGAGCTCGAAACACTGCATCGAACCAGCTATGCGAGTTCTTTTCTCATCTCGCTAACAACGAAAAATTTTTCATGTGAATAGATATTTCAGCATAATAATGATTTAGTAAAGACTTGAAAACTTTAAAAATTAGTCAGTCTACGAAATCATCAAAAAAGAATACAAAAAATAAAAAATGTGCTTTCAATACAGCCTTTTATGGAACATCGAATGGGTTATTTCATTGATGACTAATTGTTTTTGGTGCTGTCATTCAAGAAATGAACTCTTTTGAATGTTACACCGCTTTCTCTTACGAGCCAGTCCACGTAAGCCACCATCGACACTGCTCAATCGATATCCTTTGATTCAGCTCATTTAAAAATATTTGTTAGGGGCAAGAGTTTGATGATTTTTTAGCGAAAGTCGATTCAAAAAATATTCAACCCTCGATTTTTTATTGAGTTTTTATAACGAGCACTATAAAATCCCATTATCATCGGGAAGGGATTTTAAGCGCACTATATCTCAAGAATGACTCAACCTATTGGGCTGAAAATTGTTGTAGTTCTATACACCTACAGGTACTACACAAAAGAAATTTCAACTCAAACGATTGAGTTCTTGGTTTTTTATGGGTTTTACTATTGGAGAAAAAAATCACTATTTTGGCCTACTTTGACAGGTCATACCTCCGCACTGAACAACGATAGAGGTCTGAAATTATTTCTACAAATATATCACAATAAGATCTCGTTGCAGCAAAATTTTCAGCTCCGTTGAAAGAAGTGTTCGTCCGCGGTACTTTGGGCAAATCGGATTTTTTGTCAAAAATCCAATTCTGAGCCTCGGTTTTCAAGAGCCGTGACACTTAAAATTTTATCCGAGTTATCTAGTCTAAAATACTTTACTTGGGTCTACCATGTAACTCAAGAATCAAGTTGAGACAAGTAGAAACGGCTTTGAAATCGATTCATCAGTTTGGCAAAAACTTTAATTGATAGCTTTTTTTCTAGGTACCCCACATGTTCCAGATTTCTAGAGAATGGATCATCAGAAAAAAGTGAAACTTTCAGAGCAGATAAATCTCGGATAGTCGAGAAAAAAGTTGTGCTAGGCTCAAGTTTGCACAACGGTTTCATCTGTGAGATATTCAGATTCCAATGGATCAAAGATTTGTTCGTAAATTAAAAGAAAGATTTCATCCCAAGAAATAAATTCCATCTGCTATTAGCCAGCACACGAACCTTGCTTGATTTTTGAAAGAAGTCCTCTGAAAATGAAAAAAAAATTTTTGAAATTTTCCGAAGAGGTAAAACTTTTCCTTTTAATTTACGAACAAACCTTTGATCCATTGGAATCTGGATATCTCACAGATGAAACCATTGTGCAAACTTGAGCCTAGCACAACTTTTTTCTCGGCTATCCGAGATCTATCTGCTCGGAAAGGTTCACTTTTTTCTGATGAGCCATTCTCTAGAAATCTGGAACATGTGGGGTACCTAGAAAAAAAGCTATCAATTAAAGTTTTTGCCAAACTGATGAATCGACTTCAAAGCCGAGTCTACTTGTCCTAACTTAATTCTTGGGTTACATTGTAGACCCAAGTGAAGTCTCCTAGACTAGATAACTCTAGACGAATTGTTTGCTCTGTAAAGCTAAAACTTTCAGGGCAATAATATCTCATCAATATATATTTGTAAAAAAATTCCAACCCTCTATCAGTATTCAGTCAGGAAATATGAAGTACCAACGTTGGCCGAATGAGTGACTTTTCCTTCCATAGAAAAATTCATAGAATACCAAGGACTCAATCGTTGAACCTGAAATTTGTTCTATATGCAGATCTTATTGGTCTATAAATCCACAACAAATTTTCGCTCAATTGGTTGAGTCGTTCTTGAGATGTAGGGTACCCAAAATCGCCTTTTGTTATATTGGAATTTTATAGTACTATTCATAAAAACTCGATAAAAAATCGAGAGTTCAAAATTTTTTGAATCGGATTTTGCCAAAATTCATCAAAATCTTGCCTCTATCACATGTGTTAAAATGAGTCGATTTGGAGGATATCGATTGAGCAGGTCCTAGAGCAATTGACCGTGGCTTACGTGGGCTGACTCTTAAGTTAGTTGAAAGAATGTTCTTGCACTTTACAATTTGACTAAATAAGCAACTTTTGACTAAACAACTTTATTCTCTTGACTTTAAAAATAACCTGCAGTTCATCTAACATTTTGTTGCTGAAAAATAAGTTCTGACATGATGTCAAAAATTTTTGATTTGTATATTATATTCAAATTGAGTTATACAATATAATGCAATGAATTATCTGTTTATCATACTTTTATATTCCACTTTGGCTCTTATTGCTATTTAGTGTGTGATTTCATCGACGATCTTAACGACGATAGTCGAAAATTCACAGAACAAAATAGCGAAAGATACAACGCAAAACACTTGTGTTCACCGTATCTGTTGTTGGTTACTTAATATCAACGCTCATCAAAGATATTATTTTCTTGTTCCGATTCTATCGTGAGCAAACTAAAAAAAAACGAAAATAGAAAGATTAAGAAACAAGAAAACACGAAAAGACTAAGACTTGAAAACTTCTAATTGTATGCTCACTATACTTGTTGCATTCACTCATGATTAACTAAGAACAAGCTTGGCCATTGATACACCGTTCTTAAAGCAAAAACTAAAATTAAAATTAATCAGGAAACATTTTATTAACGCAAAGAGGTGATATACAGTAAATAAAATCCATTTTTAATTATTGACGACGATCGTGGATATTGTCTATCCATTTTTTTTAGCTCCATACCTCATATACTGATAGTTTATGCAAAACTTGGATAGCAGGTCCCATTGCAGCTCAAGTAATTTAGCTATCTCACCAGGTGACTTCATGTCGGTTAACAACAAATTATAGAGTTATCAGTGCAATTCATTGTATTCTTTCTATAAATATGCACTAAACTTAAATTTCAAGAAAAACAATTGAAGATTACACCAATATTACTATAATACTGAAAATCTATTAATTGAGAATGTGATATAACAGAAGTGATCAATTTACATTTACAAAATTTATTGAATTTAAAATTATTTTCAAATTATTTTACATGAAAGTTTAAACTTAAAATAAATTAGCATGAAAATTCTACGCCTTGGTTATACTGAAACGACTTCAA